TATATGAACTAAGCTACTGATGATTTCCAGTCATCAGTTAGTCATTATGGAAAAACTAAGATCAATTTACTTATAAACTCCGTCTTCAGTGCCAACCTGAAAGAAAAATTGGTTTATTAATTTATACTCTCGCTCTAAATCCTTTCGCCATTAATACTTTCATTACATTAGAATGCATTATTAACTTATAAATTAACTTTAATGATTTCCGTCGTCAAAGACAACCTGAAAGAAAATTTGGTTATTAGCTTATAAACTAACTGTAATCATTTTAATCGTATTAACCTTATGCTTTATTAACGTATATATACGGATTCATTTTTTACAGCCTATCAACCTCTTTTGGTTTATTCAGAACCGAAACACATTGAAGGACGTTGCTTACAGTACCGATGTTCCCAAGTAGAACCCATTTAAGTACTGACAGAGTTTGACATTGCTTAACCCTGATGAACGAACTAGAACCAGTGTACTCAGTGCCTATTTGACTGTAGGTTTATTAACGTATAAATTTTTTTATAGATTTCATTCTTCCGTGATAATCGTTAAGGACAGTAGGTTTGTTTTTGTTATTGTATTTTTTGAAAAACTTTTTTGTCCTAATGTCAGTGCTTGAAGCAATTTTATAAATCATTAAATAATTTTGCTTTAAGTTTCCCACAGATGACAGAAATGTTTTAGAATACGTAAATGAATACCAATTTTTTCTTAGGTTGGAATTGATGAATGAAATCATTAAAGTGAGTTTATAATATAAACACAAATATAATGTGAAATTGTCAATATTGATTGGAATATTGTTGCAGCAAACCTACAGACGGTAATAGGTATGTCCCCATTCCCATAAATACAGTAGTAAATTCTGTATGTTGATTTGCAGTTGGAGATACGTCTCCAGCTGTGCTGGTCAAACCCTCTGCTTCCGGGCAGAGAGGATGCCCAGACGAGGCTATGTCAAGGGGCAGAATCTCGTCTCGGGAAACAGCTACATGAACCCCGTTTTATACGAGGTCTACGGGGATTTTTTTTTTTGTCAAGCCTATGGGTTCGGATTACCCCACATTAAGTTCGGCTTTGTTCCACATCTGACCGAGTGGGGCGGTTGGTAGATATCCTGCAGTTGGAGATTCGTTTCCAGCTGTACTGGTCAAACTCTCTACCTACGAGACGAGAGGATCCCCAGGCAAGAATATGTCGAAGGGCAAAGTCTCGTCTCGGGAAACAGCTACCCGACTCCGTTTTATATGGTGCCTACGGGGAATTTTTGGCCCAGCCTACGGGCTCGGATACCCCACATTAAATTCGGCCTTGTGCTACATCTGACCGAGTGGGGCGGTTGGTAGATATCCTGCAGTTGGAAATTTATTGTGGAATTCCCTTGACTCACTTCTAGCAGTTGATTACTTCTTCTATGTGTTGTTCTTGTCCTAGGTATTATCGTTCATTACCAACCTTCGTTTGATTATTCTGTTTAGTAACCTTCCCTAGGTTACAACAAATATTTTAAATCAGTTTTTTGCTTAATAAACCATTTGGCTCCATGTTTGGATGTGATGGTAAAATTCTTTAACGCAAGTTAATTAACCTCAGGTCAAAAGTGATCCTATGGCATCTTATATTATTTTATGACCTCTGGTAATCCCAGGTCACAACTGACCCTATGTAATCCTATGTTAATTTATGTCCTCTAGTGACCTCAGGCCAAAGTTGACCCTATGGCACCCTATGTTATTTTATGAGTTCTGATAACCCCAGGTCAAGCTTGACCTATGACATCCTAACTAATTTTATGACGTCTTATGGTGTTCTTAACTTAAACGTCACCCTATGGCATAATATACTATATTATGACCTCAAAGATCATTTGAAGACAATAAACATAACCGATGTTATTACTAGAAGTTTTATGGTTTTTCATTGAAATCATTGGGATCCTGGGACGTTCTATTTTCACAAATATATACACACAAAAAATAGTTACATCCATTGTAAGTCTTCTGCTGGACAAACTGATTTCTAAAATCTTCTGCTGCCTTGAAAAATCTCATGATAGACAAAGGCCTTCCATCATATCCTACTGGACAAACACCCTCCCTCCAAAATCACCTCTCGACAAAGGCCTTCCAAAATCTCCTACTGGACAAGTGCCTTCAAAATCTTCCACTGGACAAAAACCTTACAAAATTTCCTGCTGAACAATGGCCATCCAAAATCTCCTGTTATACAATGCCCTTGCAAAATCTCCTACCGGAAAAAGGCCTTCCAAAATCTCTTAAATGATAATGGCCTTCCAAAATCTGCTGGACAAAAGACTTCCAAACTCCTCTGGTAAACAAAGTCCTTCCAAAGTCTCCTCCTGGAGAAAGGTCTTCCAAAATCTCCTGCTAGACAAAGGCCACCCAATATCTTCTGCTTCTCAAAACTTCTGCTAGACAAAGACCTTCCAAAATTTCCTACTAGACAATGACCTTCCAAAACTTTCCATGACAACTGTGGCTGATATTTTTTTGCCATATCTTACTATCAAACCTCATGGTTTCATCTTTCTATCTTCTTCCTGGTCATTTCTGACTGTATTTTGACATCCATTGGATATCAATCAAGCAAACTTCTACTCTATTACATTTTACTCTATCTTTATTACCATGTCTCTTAACCTTCCATCTTAATTTTTGTATTTTAATCACTTCTATAAAATCTCTTGATCTGTGCTGTTCCCTATTTCATGTTCACATCTTTCTACTGCTTAATATTGTCCCTAGTATTGATTTTTTCATTGATCGTTGTCCATTATTTTAGCTTGTTTTCAAATTTTATTAATTTCCATGCACCCACGTATTATAACAGGCACGATATATTCATTATATGCTTTATGCTTTAAGCAGATTGATAAGGTGTTTTTTTATTATATATCTATTTATGTTAAATGCAGTCAACTGTATCATTATATATCTTTTTTATTTTCATGGTTTTTCATTAATGTTATCATCTGTCCTAATTCAGTATATTCCTGGACTTCTTCCAGTTCTTCATCTTCTATTTTTATTATTATATGTTACAAGTAAACATTAATTTTGTTTTATTTCTGTTTGTTTTTCAACCTACATTTAGAATTTTATTATTTAGATCATATTTAACCATGCGAAATCTGCTGGTCAAAAGCCTTCGACATCCATTGGATATCAATCCAGCAAACTTCTACTCTATTATATTTTACTCTATCTTTATTACTACGTCTCTTACCCACCCATCTTAATTTTTGTATTTTAATCACTTCTATAAGATCTCTTGATCTGTTCTCTATTCCATGTTGACCTCTTTCTATTACTTGTCCTTATGATTACTCTTTTCATTGATTATTGTGCATTATTTTAGTTTTGCTTTCATGTTAATTTCTGTTTCACATCCGTATCTTATAGCTGACATTAAAAATTCATTATACTGTTTTCATTTTAAGCATATTGATAAGGTGCTTACTTATACCGTTAGTTTTGTTAAATTCATTCCCGTGTTTTTTAATGACATAATCTGTCTTAAGTCGATGTATTCCTGGACATCTTCCAGATCGTCATATTTTTTATGATCTTTTTATGATCTACTTCAGAACATTACAATTAAACATTATATTTCTTTTATTTTTGTTTGTCTTAAAACATATTCATTGTCAGTTTCTTTATTTAAGTCATTTTGCATAGCGTGTAATTCATTTAATGATTCTGATATTTGCAAAATGTCGTCAACAAATTACAAATGGTTCTAATATTTTTCATTTATCTTTACCACCGTCCCTCCCCAGACAATAATTTTCAAAGTCTGCTGTAAATTTGTTTAAGGTAAATCATATACCTTAATCTCAACCTTTCTCCAAAATTCCAATTCCTCTAATCTTGAGAACTCCTATTTTTTTCACTTTACTCTCTAAATTCAACTTGTTTGAAATTCTCCAGTTTTTCCTCCATGGTGAGTGATTAATCATTTTCTAACCTACAATACTTTTCCCGCAGATTCTCTCGCCATTCTATCGCTATTTTAATGATACGTGTCCGAGCGAACTACATCCCTTACTTCCACCTGCCATGCCACGTAAACAGAGTTGACTCATCCTCATTCCTTAAGCACTCCATTGATAAGGAGGACGTTTCACTGGGACAGATTCTTCTCCAGAACTGTTGCAATGTGAGACAGACTCCCGAAGGGAAGCTACCTTGATCACTACAATCTTACTTCAAATCCAGAGTCAACTTTTATCTATCCTATATAAACTCATAAAATGCATCTCTTAATCCCTCCTTGTACGTCTTTATAAAACCGCTTTCTCAGATCAATGGTTAAAATGGTTTTGAGCGAATGAAACCTGTAGGTTGCAGTGACGACCATCTGTACTCAAACCTTGAAATCTGGCGCTAGAGAATCTCAAACAAAGAACTGCACGAAACGACAGAAACCACATCACTTGAAGACTTTCAGCAACTAAAATGGTTAGCACATGATAAAAGCGAAAATAATTACAAGCGCAAGATGTTGACACACTCACACTACTTTAAACAAAAAGAAGGAAACTCCTATCAATGCTAGAAAGAGCGATAACGGAGATTTGGAAAAACCTATTTCCCTGAAAAAATGTTTTAGTAGAAAGATTTTATAAATTTTAACTAACAGCGGCACTGGCTACTTGGTCAATGAATGTTTCATTATCAGGTTTTCAAGGTAAAACTAGAAAAGAACAGCTATATCAGAGACGCTGTTGGTTTAGTGAGAAAAAGAAAACATACAAAGATAGATAGATAGATAGATAGATAGATAGATAGATAGATAGTGTTATATAGGAAAACAGTGTCGCTGCCGACACTTGGGTTTGAACACGGATCGCCAGAAAGCAAGAACAGTTGACCTCATCTTGAAATAATTAGATCACGTGACGGGTAAATGAAAATATCTATATGGGAATTAGCGTCGTCTGACCGAGTAATGTTCGTAGGCGTTACTATTATTGATTTACAGAGTCTCTCCTATAAACGGACATTACAAAAGAAAGAAAGAAAGAAAGAAAGAAAGAAGGAAAGAAGGAAAGGCGATAATACCCTCACTTATTTAACGTCGACTTCAGTGAAATGGAAAACCTTGACAGTTTATAATCTTTTCATTTGTACTTTCTGATTTATTTAAATAATGATCTTTATGCATGCATATGATTGTTAATACAATATTTTCTTAAAGTTGTTAGGCTAAAATAGTTAACGATGCAATAGGGAAATTCCACGAGTATTTTAACATCGTGGGACTCGCAAAAAGCTTATTCAAACCTTAACTTGTGACTTATATACCCTTGTGCAAATAAATTGAAACAACCGCTTTAGTTTCCTTTCTTCCAACATACGGCCAGTTTGAGACGCACTGGATTGACAGGGTGTAATCGATTTCTATTTTTTCTCAGATTAGGTCATTTGCAGTGGTGTGCAGTTTATTTTCGGGGTGTATGATGAAATTTGTTTGGCCTTAAAAAAGTATTGCCTCATACATGATTGCAACAGATTTTTATCACGCCTAGACACTATTCTCTCGATTTTTGATTAGTTGTCCTACAGCTGTTGTCTGCTATGAATGTTACTCTAAGGAAGCGTACCAAAATTGTAACACTGCACGAAGATACTGGCAAGCCTTAGCATTGGCAATATCAAAGTACTATAGACTGGCCCGGAAACTCTCCTGATTTAAATCAAATCTGTGGTCAATCTGTAAGGAACGACTTCGTGGAATGGACATACGAACATGCGCAGTGGGTCATGTTTCATTAGAAAAATACGAAAAAAGTAAAAGAAATATAACGGAATTATTCGTTTTGTTTCAATTAATTTGCACAAGGGTTTAATTTATCAGAAAATTCAAATCGAGAAAATTTCACAGGTTCACTAATTCTGTTTAATGATGTAAATCCTGACCGTTGTTCATCTTTTTCACACTTCCACTAAAAGATTCCGAATTTGCTCACTGACCTGCGAGCTTCTCTTATTTCTACTTTAACATGAAAATAATGAAACCATTTAAAAAAATGACTGTACAAAATAAACATAGCATTCGTTAAATGAGTTCGAACGAGAAGGGCAGAGTGACCAGTAGTTTATAGCGCAAAAACCGGAAGCTAAAATGTCATGACATATTTTGGTATTTGAAACTAAAATAAATGACATTTAAATAGAATAGCTAGATAAACAGTAAAAACAGTTATCCATTGTTATTATCTCGAGAAAAAAAAATGGTTTGCGAAATGTTTTGTACGTAATCTTGACTCATTGTTCACCTTTAACAGATGTAAATTTTTAATTAGTTGCAAATAACAACATATTCCATTGACTCATCTCGCATCTATCTATTATTTCTGTAGATCTGCTAAATTCTAGCGTAGATAGATAGATAGATAGATAGATAGATAGATAGATAGATAGGGAGGGAGGGAACAGGCTGGGATAGATAGATAGATAGATAGATAGATAGATAGATAGATAGATAGATAGATAGATAGATAGAATACGATACTATGGGGTCCGGAAAAGTTTGCAGTTTAAACACGAAACACTACCCACCAAAATTTAAGAAGTTTAGTCATCTGGTAAAATTTTGTGGGGTCTGTAGGACAAGGAGTTTTTCTCTATTCCCTCACACACACACACACACACATACATATATATATATATATATATATATATATATATATATATATATATATATGGCAAGTTTGATTGGCTTACCATCTTGCACCTGCCTGGTCGTATAAGGAGGGTTCCTATCAAACTACAGCTACCGACCACCTGATGATTTTGCATTTGAGTAATAATTCCTTGTTAATGAAAGTTCCATTAAAGACGACTGGCAAGATACTATGTTTGTTTTTTTATTTAATTTTTCTTGTGTTTGTACAAGTGTTTTTTTTGGGGGGGAGGGGGTTCTGAACAAAAGTGTGTAAAAACTCTCCAAATTTTCTATATATCTGAGAGCTTTCAGCCATTCTATTAGCCATTATTATTATCCTTGATAATGGCTAAGAGAATAACCAAAAGTGTTCTGATATTTAGAACATTTAGACAATTTTTACACACTTTATGTGCAGAAAAGAAAAGACTTGTACAAATGCAAGAAAAATTGAATAAAAAGCATAATTGCAGTAACTTGTCAATTCTCTTTAACAAAACTTGTATAAAAGAGGGATTGCTGCCAAAATATACACACACAGATAGATAGATAGATAGATAGACTTCATAGAAACGTAGATCCAGAACTGGTGTGCGTATATATATAAATGACGGACTTATCTTCATCCCCAATAGTAATAGACCGAAGTTACTAAAAAAATAATTACTATGGTTTAGATTTCTTCTAAACTTAAAATAGTTAATTACCTAGACATCACCCTTAACTTAAATGGAAAAATCTTAGACGTTTTAAATTTTCTTCATATATATATATATATATATATATATATATATATATATATTTCATTAACGCATTTTATTCAATTTTTCTTGTGTTTGTATGTTTTCTTTTCTGGACAAAAAATGTGTTAAAACTGTTCAAATATTCTAATTATACGACCGCTTTCAGCCATTCTGTTAGCTATTATCATTGATAATGGTTAATAGTATAGTTGAAAGTGTTCTGCGATTTGGATTAAATTTTTCCTTGCATTCGTGTTTTCTTTTCTGGACAAAAAGTGTGTAAAATCTTTTCTATATATCCGAGAGCTTTCGATTATTCGATTAGCCATTATTAATAATGTCTTTTTTTAACTGAACATGTAGATTTTATATATATATATATATATCTATAGTGACGGAGAACTATTTTCTGAACACTATCGTGTGGTCGTATTAATAGTTAATATTATCAAGTGTGGGCTTTTTTACTAATACTCCCATTATTTTTAACCCTTTTTTAGCATGTAGATGAGACTGTTATGGTTGTATTTTCTACAGTTTTGTTGCGAACGGTGTTTGGTAGGTTTTGTTTAAATTCATCCTAAAAGAGCTATGGCGTTTATCTAAGCCTATCGTATAGCGATTTTCCAAGCGTAGCTTAGATGTGGCACAAGGCCGAAAGTAGGGGACACTCAGTGATCTAAGCCTATCGTATATGTAGCACAAAGGCCCCTAGAATGGGGCACAGAGTGACAATCGAACTCACTGTTTAGTCATTATTCTAACATGAGAAGCTTGCTAACCATTATACATCGTCGAAGTAGCTAGGTCCTAAATAAACTATGGTTGTAAAGGGAGTCTTCTTGATAAGCTTGTAGTGGTATGTCTAATATAATTATTCAGGAATGTGTTTTGATCAGGAGTGCAGTTATGTAAATTCATACATAATATGGGTCCTCTGTAATTTGAATCTTTTATCAACTTTTAATTTTTTATAATAGATAATTGACTTAATTTTCTTGTTCTAGTCGACTGGATATAGATTTCTTAATGGTATTTCTAAGGGCAAATTCATCCAGTTTATAATTAAGGTGTATTTGATTTTTGTAAAAACAAATAATGTTAATATTATTGTTTTATCCGTATTTTCAGTTTTGCTGTTGCTTACCTTAGTAAAAAATAATCTAATTTGGTTATATATGAGGCACTGTATATATATATATATATATATATATATATATATATATATATATATATATATATATATATATATATATATATATATATATATGAGTAAAGTAGTAAAAAAAAAAGAGAAAAATACTTTAACGTTATTTAGAGAGTTGACAAACATTGAAAGGTTAAGTTCAAATGGAAACAAAGTGAAAGGTTATTAAGTATATTCAAGTCTATATATATATATATATATATATATGACTTATAAAATTGCAAGTGAATGCCCTGCTATTTTACATCTAGCTCTCTTTTGTTATTACCAGTACTCAATGCACGATATTTTAACTTTCTCTATCTAGCCTTTCTCTCTTTCTCTCTTCTCAGTGTATGTATATATATATATATATATATATATATATATATATATATATATATATATATGCTACAGGCAAAAAGTTTAGGGCCACTGTGCATTTCTTCAAAAATACCTTCAAATGAGTGAGTTATTTTGTAATTTTTAAAGTAAAAGAAAAAATTCAACAACTAAATGCTGGGTGGCCTGTAACATTTGCTTTTAGCACACACACACACACACACACACACATATATATATATATATATATATATATATATATATATATATATATAGAGAGAGAGAGAGAGAGAGAAAGGAGAGAGAGAGAGGAGAGAGAGAGGGTTGTGGGATTATTCACCCTCTTCCATAATTCCAAATTAAACGATAATGCTTCAAATTTTCAAGGAAACTTCATGTGGATTTTTTCAATAATGAAATAATGGATTTGAAAGAATGTACAGTTATGTCCATAACAAAATTTTATTTTAATGTCAAACAATAATACAAAAATCTTCAAAACATTGAACAGAGGAAAAAATTATTGGCCCTTTTTGTCTCAATAATCAATTGTGTAACCATTATTCTTGATTATTGTCTTTAATCATTTTTGATATTTCCTGACAACATCACTGCATACACTAAATGGTATTTTACTCCATTCTTCTTTGACAATCTATTTCCTCCAATTTAAGGCACTTACTTCTCTTACTTTTTCTTCATATATGCCCACAAATTTTCAATGGAGTTTTGGTCAGGACTTTGTGTGGGGTACACCAGTAATTTAATTTTGCTGTTATCTAAGTATTTTGTACCAATTCGTGCTATGTGTTTTGGGTCATAGTTATGGTGGAACGTCCAGTGACACCCCAAAGCCAGATTTTGCACACTTTGTTTTATACTATTTTTTAAGAATAACCAAATACTGCACTTTATCCATAATACCCTGTACTTTCACTAGTTCTCCTGGTCCGGAAGCAGCGAAACATCCCCAGAGCAAAATGCTTCAACTACCGTACTTAATGGTAGAAAGGGTATTTTTTGGTTTGTGAGCTTCATTCACTTTCTTCCATACATAATGGTAGTTTATGTGCCCAAGTAATTCTAGTTTGGCTTCAGCTGACCATAAAAACAGATTTCCAATATTTACTCCCATATTCTAGATAGCTTCTAGCATAAGCTAATCTCTATTTTAGGTGTTTAGCTTAAATGAAAAGCTCGAAGTGACTGTCTTCGTCGATACATTCAAAACGTTGCATAATTCACAATGTTTTTCGTCTTTAAGTGAGGATTTTTTGAGTCATAGCTAACAATTTTCCTTTCGATTCTCTCAGAAATTAACCGTTTTCTGCTTGTCATTAATTTATTCTCAACACGTTGCGTCTCGTTGTATTTCTTGATAATGCCACGAGTTGTCGATGTAGTGAAATTTAAATGCTTCTATATACATGACCTTGTTTGTACGCATCAACTGTCTTCATCCGGAGCTCCTTGTCATGTTCAACCATCTTCGCCATGATTGCAAAACGAATGAGTTATCATGGTACGTGACACTCAGATATAGTCTTCTTTATTACTTTTGAGAATGTTATAAGGTGTTTGTATTAAATGTCAAATTATGAAAGAATAAACGTTGCAATTGCTATAAGGTGGCGGGGAATAATTTTGGACTCCACCAATTTTTACAAAAATCTTTATGAATATATGAGATCGAAACTTATTATTCAAAACTAAATGCGAATCAACCATTTATGGTGAATTCGGTAAGTACTTTAATATAACCTAGGAAAGGTTACTGAATGAGAAATAACCAAAACAGAGGTTGGAAATAAAATAGTAATCTTTATAACATCAATAAAATACAATACTCGCCAGCGGCGTGAAGTAGGTAAACCACTGCTAGTGTTGGACTACTAGGACAGCATATTATCCCCCCTCACACACATACACACACATACAGACATACACACTTACAAGAGTATCCAACGTATTTATGAGGATTGGGACACACCCATTAGTTTTCATAGGTACGATATATAACATACTTGCAAATATTCAGTGGGCGCGAATAATTATGTCCACAACTGTACTTACAAATAAATGTCACCATTGATAATCTAAAGCTATATCCTCGACATTTGTTTAATACCGATAGATTTATTAAAACCAAATATTGCATTTTTCGGATAATGGAGGCTGGTATCACCTTTGGCATTTTTGCCGGAGTCCCACTTGCACTTTAATTATTCATTATATGCCCCGATTATTATTATTATTATTATTATTATTATTATTATTGTTGTTTACAATCAAACTTTTGTGCTCCTCTTTGTGGTTACTACGTTTTGGCCGTTGTGCTCTCCTGCCTTCTTTCAGTGCTTGTTGATCCGGTTAAAAGTATAATTAATATCCTTCTTTTCTTACTTCTACTTTCCAACACAAAGTCTCCTCAGGCGTATTTTATTACTGGCATCAAAATAAAGAATAAAATACGTTGCTAACAATCTAAACTCTGTATATTCTACAATCGTTTATTCCGAGTATAACGATAAACTACATCTGGCAACAAGGCCTCTGATCGGGGGGCGTGAAGCCACATCTAAATTGCTGTTGTTCCCAGGGATACTCTAACCCGGAGTAGTAGCATCTGTTAGGGTCCCAGCTAAGGGCAAATAGTGAATCCCCCGAACAAAACAAATCACTATAAATTTATAAAAAAAAAACACATTTTTATAATAAAAAATACGAGCAATCCACTTTTTATTTATATATATATATATATATATATATATATATATATATATATATATATATATATATATATATATTACCAACAGTATCTATTTATAGTAGAATTATCATCATGAAAGAACTCTTTTATGACATTAATTTCTTAAATCAAACTATCTTCCAAAATATAACTTCATCAAAACTACAACATAAAACACCCATATCACCGCCTTTAGTAATTATGTCCACACAAACACGTATGTGCACAAAATCTGAGTATCATCTACCATGTATTCAATTGTGAAATGAGAACAAATATCATATTTTTATTATTTCAAATCTCTCAAGGAAATTAAATTTCGGTGTTAAATGACCCATAAAGGAGTTGATATGCCGTTAAATACAGAAATCAATCAATCAACCAATCGAACATCGTATAATACCGATAGATTTAATGGATCCGAGTGTTGTATTTTCGGATAATGAAGGCTGGTCTCTCCTTGTTTGTTTGTTTTTTATTATTTCCAGAACCTAGTAAAGATACACAGTAGCGCCTGACTTAGTAACTATATCTCTCGATTGTGTAGATAGGTTTGCTTATCGCCCAGTTCACATCTTTTCCCGGTTTTTTGAACAAGAGTAGAGGTTTATCCTTTGTTTACTGACTAGGATTGCTTTACCGGTTTCTTATAAAGTTTTCTCGTTTTCTTTCACTCCCAGTAGCCCCTTGCGTCTTAGTGGCATTATCGCCCTGCTTAGGGTGAACTGATCAAAAAAATGTATGATCTCCCTCTCAAAAAAAGAAAAGCTAGAATCAGAAGATATACGAATAACATTCACTCTGCAAGCAAAATAGTAAGGGCGGGATTACTTTTGTACAATATACAGAAATCAGCGCTAGAAATCGGTAAACAGAAAATAGAATTCATATGCTTTAACTAGCAGCATGGCCCGGCGTTGCCCGTGCTGGATTCAAAAATCGTACGACTCATACAGCAATTGCTATCACTTGACTTAAAATATTTTTGCCCTTCCTTGCCTTTAAAGAAGTGCCCTTTTCTGTGCTGATGTTGCTACATGCCTTACTTCTTGCTTATCTCATACTGCAAATTTTTTCTAAGCTCTATACTAAACATTAAATCTGTTACGAAAAAAGAACTAAACAAAATGAACACAAAACGATCAGCTTTAAAAAGGACTCGTAACTGGAAAAAACCGAATGAAAAAAAGAATGTTAACAGCAAATACTTTTTCACACGCAACCCAGTTCTGCGGAATCAGAATCAACGTTGAGTTTAAGCAAGCGAATGGACCAATTGGAGAAGTGCCATGCAGATTTAAATTTTTCCCACTTGTGACGAATGCAGCTATCGATTTTTTTGCATGCTAGCATGCTAGTTAACATTCATGTCAGTCAGCTGTTGGCTCTCACGCTGGCCAATAGAATCGTCCTGCCTATTCGTGGCAGCCAGCTATAGGCTCTCATTCTGGCCAATAGAAAATGGCCGCAAACTACATGAAAACTGCCGTAGAAGTATGAACAAATTGATTATTTCCACTATCGATGGGAGTTGGGAAATGCAAGGTCGTTCTTGGCCTTCCCGCTAACTTGGAGCATGTGCATGTAAATTTTGGTGCAAATCCGTCGAAAATTGCGACCGTGCATTCGTTACACACACACACACACACACACACACACACACACATCGTGCCTTTTATAGATAGAGATCAACAAGGCTTTATAAATTCTCTACCATGCTAGCCATTAAAACTGGTTGATCAGTTCATCTATCTTGGCAGCACTCATCCACTAAATTGGAAACCTCCAGCGGGATTTGTTAATTATTTTATCAGATCATTATCCAGTGAAAATGATTTCCTGACTTGAAAAGACCCATCCAAACAGTAAAGTCTCAAAGTATTTTGCTTTCCGTCTTTTCAAGGATAATCTCTAAGTTTTCTTCATAGCAATCAATTATATGTATTTACACTATTTACATTGTTCGGACTGTTGTCCTCATCTTTGTTGCTATATTCACGAACAGGTGATTAGAATTTCGAACTGAACCCTATTATTTCGTCGACCGGGGTAGATTATTCTAGTTCCTCTTCCGGTTATCACAGTATCAGTTATTTCCCTTTAATTTAACACTCCAAGTTTTTGTTCACTTCAGCTGTAGTCAGGAATTCACCCAAAGAGTTGTGAGTTCAATACTTGCAGCCAGGTATTAAACTCACAACTCTTTGGGTCAAGGGTCAAGTCATTGGATTCAACGAACCGATTAATTCAATCTTAACCTGTTCAATTCTAAGGTCAAACGTAATCTTCCGCACTTCCGTAATCTCCATAAATTGTGCCTCTTACTCTGAAACCCTCTACCTCGAGTGGCTCTTGGGACTTGTACAGGATTAACAGGAGTAGTTTTTACAATGATGTAAAAACTACACTTTACTAAAAGACCGTAATTCTATTTACTAATATTTGGACCATAAATTAATATAAACTGATCAAGTTTCATTTTGCTCTCGTCAGAATCATGCAACATAATTACTTGATAGATTTTTCAAAATATTTTTTGTTAATTTGTCGTGTGATTTTAAACAAAACTCAATAAACTGAGGAGCTTAAGATTCAAACACCAGAAATAAATGTGTAATGAGAAAACTTTATCAGCAATCAAATGTATAAATTATATAAACCCTTCAGCATTGACTGTTTATTTCGTAAAAGATCCATTTTGTGTTCATCTATTCTGTTATTTAAATTCCTAGACGTTTCACCTATATATCTTTTGCAACATTTACTACAGTCTAAAATTTAACTTTATGTTGCAGGTTTTAGATTGAAATTATTCTGTTTTGCATCGAAAATCCACAAATAAAAATTATCTCATATACTTCTGGTTCCTTCAAATATCTGTTCATTGTTTGTGTTTTCCCTTATCACAACAATCTTGACCTCTTCAAGTCTACTTTTAACCTATATATTCCCTGCATAGTCCCATAATATTTAACTTCTTCACGACATTGCAACAAAAAATAAAAACTGAAGTAATTGCCGGTTTAAAAGAACTCAGCATTTGTAGCTATCAATATTTACATGAGGAAGAGAAATACATTGAAAATACTTTTAAACTCCTCTAATATCCTTATTATTTAATGCTAGACACAAAGCTCATCATATTCATAAACGAAGGTAACAAATAATATCACTAATCTTCATAAAACTACATTCTTGTCAAATTAACTGAAACAACTGCTTTAGTTTCCTTTCTTTCAACATATGGTCAGTGACAGGGTGTAATCGATTTTTTTTTCTCTCAAATTTGGTCATTTGCAGTGGTATGCAATAATATGACTCTTTTTTTCGAGGTACATGATGAAATTAGTTTGACCTTGAAAAATTTTTTTGTCATCCGTGATTGCATCAGATTTTTATCACACCCAGACACAATTGTCTCGGCTGTCGATTAGTTGTCCTATGGTCATTGTCTGCAATAGACATTACTCCCAGAAAGCGTATGAGAATTGTAACGTTACATGAACTGACAACCTTAACCAGCGACAAATCAAAGTATTATCGACTAGACCAGAAACGCTCCTCAATTTAAGCCAATCGAGAATCTGTAGTCAATCTTAAAGGAACGACTTCATGGAATGGACATACAAAGTACTAACATGTGCACTGCGTCATGTTTCATTGGGAGAATACGAAAAAAGTAAATAATAACGGAATTATTCGTTTTGTATCAATGAATTTGCACAAGGATGTACGTTAATAATATAACTTACCAACTTAACAACAACTGCATCTGAAAAGAATTTATCTCAACGCTATATCAAATTTGTTACAATTCTTCTTCTTATTTTTTACTAACGTTTACTCAATACAAGGTCTATTTCTTCTTAATAATAACAAAGATTTTGTCGATAAAACTGTGTTTTTATCAAGTTTGGGACATTTTTTCATCCTGGTATTCTCCTTTTTTAACGAATTAGTACCCACTTTATAAGAAACAGTAAACTCAGTCCTAAACAGAGAACAAGTGATAGGATAAACATCTATTCCTGTTCAAAACATCGGGGGGGGGAGTGTGAACAGAGCGATAGACGAACGTGACATAATCAATAAGAGATTAATACGAAAAATAATAACCCAAAACCTGAAGCAGGAATTTATGCTATTGAATGTAATAAATGTTCCAAGAAACATTTCAGAAGTTAAATAAAATATTATATGAACAGAGAAAGGATCATTTACAAAACAAAATGTCTTCTTCTCATAAATTAGAATTCATAACAAACATTATTTATGAATATATGACGTCTGTTTTCATTTACAGTTTATTTACATTAAATATTGACTAACATTAGTTTCGTCTAACACAGATCCACAAAGGAAAGACAATTCGTTGTCGAATTATTTCTACGAATGAATGAGAAAATGGAAAGTTAATCATCATACACTAAGAATTTATTTGCATG